AAGAGTAAGAGAGACTGAAGAAGGGAAGCTAAGGATTTGTTATGTTTCCCATTTTTCACAGTGAGAAGGAAAAGGGAGAAACAGGGTGGGGGGCTGGTCCTACCTTCCAGGCCACTTGACCCCATTTTGCTCTGTCCCTGCATCTCAGTTATACATTTCAGCCTCTATACGAAGAGAAGAGCAGTATGGTCACCAAAAAAAAAAAAAAAAAAAAAAAGGATGAATACTAGATCCCTAAGGCATGTCATTTGGAAACTAATAATTATTTGAATATGCAAATATAAAGCAGTCTCCTGCTCAGTGCCAGACACTGCCCTCTCTCTATAGTGTAGCATGATTTTACTGTGTAAGACCATAATTGAAATTTTTCAAAATGTTAAAAGCAGCTGTAATTAATGAGTATCAGTTCATTTATTCATTTCAAAGGGGCTGTCATTTGCCTTTTTACCACCCCTCGTTCCTCATCAATTTTTAGTGAGCGGCCCTCAAGCTACCAGGTATTCCAGATTGTTGCAATACTACTTCTTCCCCGTGGAAAGGCATTTGTCGGTATGCAATTCTCAGTTTCCACTACAGAAAGGTTTCAACCTGTTTCCATATAGATATCCTCCAAAACCTGAGAGGCTTTTCCCCATAGAGTGTAAAAAAAAAACAAAAAAAAAAAAACAAAAAAACCCAAATCTGTTACCCTTTGGTTGCTGTTGCATGAATTTTTAGAAGAGATAAAGATGTAAATGAGTCATAATTATAAGGGACTGTAGATGGGCTTCTCTCATCAACTGGAAAGATTCCCTTGGGATTGTCAATGTGAGTAAACGTACCCTCAGCGTAAGCCAAGGAGATGACAACGTTCAAGGACCAGGCCGAGAGGTTCACAGCGGTGTCTGTACGCAGCCGTGTGCGGCGCACACCTCACACCCTGGTGCTGAAGTAGCAGGTTGTCCCCGTGACAGGTCCCAAAAAACCCCGCAAGGCTGGACGTCATCTCTAGTAGCTAGTTTTTAATGAGACAGGATAATCAAGATTGAAGGAAAAAAAAATCCCAGAAGGTACTTCTTTAAGAGAACAAACTAAAAAAAAAAAAAAGAAAAAGTTTTGGCCGCATTTCAGAATCTAGAACAGGGATGAAAAGTCAGCAGAAAAGAACGTGCAGCAGAGGTTGTTGGATAAACAGGTCATTCCCTCCGATCCGTGTGGAGCCAGGGTGGAAGAGCAGCCCCACGGCACCGAAGGCCTGGCTTTGCTGTTTGCTGTGGATCTGGAGGACTTTGCTCCGGCTGTGGCGTTTCTTCAACATTTTCTTGCAGGACTCCTTGAGGAAACAAGGTTTAAACTCACTATTTGCCGGGAGGTAGTAGGATCTGTGCCAAGTAGCAATAACTAAAAGAAAGAGTACTCATTTATCTAGTGCTGTGTAAGTAGTGCTAAGTGAGCTGTAATAATAGCATCCATCAGTTAATAAGGCAGACAAAGAGCTTGGTTAGCAGTGATTCATGAGCTTATTTGCTATTCACAATTATTCAACTGATTCAGATATGAAAAAATACCACCAGTATCTTCCGAAAATTGTGCAGTCTTAAAAAAATTCACCTAAAGTTTCATCCTGAATAAACATGTCCCTTATTTGCTATGTTTTATTGTCCTGGACAAAACTTTTCACGACTCTTATAATAACACCTGCAAAAGCAAGCACTTCAAAAAGAAACAACGGAAAATTGAAAACTGCCGCCTGCCTCCCAAAAGCGCTCCATAACAGCTCGGGAGATGCTATATGTAGCTGAGCACTGGGGTGGTGATGTCTGCGTTGACGTCAACCCAAATTTAGCCAGGGCTGATCCACCCCGGAGCTGTCTGGTATTCCTCAAAGCAGAAATTTTAAACAAACCTACAGACTGCCACCGAGCTTAGACTTGTTACACAGAGGTCTGCGTCTCCACTATAAACCTCCTAGTGGCATCTAGATCAGAAAGACTAAAACCATTCCTTCAAAACAGAGCACTAAAAATCTGTTAATATGTGCCCACCGCATCTTGTTGTTCTCACTATTTCTTTTCCTATTCCACTGTATAAAGCTTTGTACACACAAAACTCTTCTATTTCTAAAGAGATATTTCTTTAGGTGGAGATATAGCTTTCTATGTTCTTTCCACACACATATATTTTGGACTTCTGTAAAATAACCATAGCAACAACATGATCACTGATGTCTTCGATAAGCAGTATAAAGCTTCAGCTCTCACCGTGATTCTGAAATGAAATCTACCGCATCGTTGGCAAATTCTGGGTCTGAGCCAAGCCTGGGAGTAAATCCCATTCCCAGTCTGCTTTACAGTACAGGATGGATAAATAGAAATTGCCACCCGTTCATTTGTGCAAGAGTGGTGGTACAGCCCAACCGTACCTGGCACAGCTGCTTCTCCTCCTCGGGAACGGCCACGTTTCGGGGAGGCAGCGAGCAAGCCGTGGCGTTGTAACCCTGCCATCCACTCGCTGGGAAAGGTGCCCTGGGGGTGCCTGCCGCTCCTATCAGCTGCAGATGCATTAGGACCACTATGAAGTCTTTTAAGCTTGTTACTAGTCCATCTCTGAGTTTTGGTTTTTTTTTAAGTGCTTTTTTTCCCCTTTCTTTCTTTAAATGGCTACATGTTCTTTTTTTT